GTAAGTGCTCTTGTTTTGATATGCCTCTTCCTTGCACGTGACCCCCTTCACCGCCACCACCCATCACCACCAACCACAAACTCACAAAACCCTCACCAGTCGTCGGCAAGCGCAAGATCTGGCTCAACACCCAAGTCGACGACATGCAACTGTCCACCAGCATCTACTACCCGGCCAACACGACCTTCCGCATCCGCACCACAGACCTCGACTTCCACGCGGCCTGGCAGACAGACCTGCACACGCGCCTCCCCGAGGGCTCCAACTACTTTGTCGAAATCGGCCACAACGGCAACGGCGACGTGACCAACGCGACCACTGTCATCGCCGCCGACGCAACCATCGACCAAAACACCTGCGTGCCGCTGTCGGCCGTCTACTACGACACGCCGCCGACCACCGAGCTCGAATTCTACAAGCCTCTCGGCACGGGCGTCGACCGCTGGCCAGCAGGCTACACGGCGTACAACTGGTCCCTCCCGTGCGCGCTGATCGACAACATCGCCGCGTGGTTCTACAACAACCCCAACGTCTTTGGCGCCGTCTCGCACACCTTTTCGCACGAGGAGCTCAACAACGCGACGTACGCCGACGCCTCCAAGGAGATCTACTTCAACATTGCCTGGCTCAAGCAAATCGGCCTGTGGACATCCGACAAGTTCTCCTCCGCGGGCATCATCCCCCCGGCCATCACGGGCATGCACAACGGCGACGCGATGCAAGCGTGGTGGGACAATGGAATCAGGCACGTTGTCGGCGACAATACGCGCCCTGTGCTGCGCAACAGCAACAACACCTTTTACCCGCTCATTTCCACCGTCAACGAGAACGGCTTTGACGGAATGACAATCATTCCGCGCTGGGCGACGACCATGTACTACAACTGCGACACGGCAGCGTGTACGACCCAAGAATGGATCGACACCTCGGGTGGCAGCGGCGGGTTTGCGAACCTGTTGATTGACGCGCGCACGACGAATTCCAAGTATCTCCTCGGCTTGCATCCGGATCCGTACATGTTCCACCAGGCGAATCTGCGGTCTGGCGATGTGGACACAATCACCCTGGGCAGTGTGACGGGCAAGTTGTCGTTGATCCAGATTTGGGTCGAGACAGTGACGCAGGAGTTGACGAGGCTGACGAACTGGCCAATCTTTTCGATGAAGCATGATGACATTGGCCAGTATTTCTTGGACCGCGTTACGCTTGAGTAAGTCTGGGCTCTGCTTCTCTTCTCCTTCCCCCTTCTTTTCTTTTCTCTTCTTCCTGTATACAAATTCAGCCACGGGATAAACACTTGCCCAGTCATGAGAACCATTCACTGACACCTCAACCCCACCCCTTACAGCGCCTGCAACCCAAACCTCATCTACAATTACGCCGACGACGGCAAGTCCATCACCTCCGTGACCGTCACAAGCAATTCCAACAGCTGCACCGTGCCCGTGCCCGTCACCTTCCCCGGCACCGCCACTAGCTCCGGCGCGGGTTACACGGACAAGAACGGCACCGAGCCACTCATCTACTACACCACAATGAGCGGCAGCACAGTCACGTACACCCTGGGAGAGGCTCTGGCTGTTTCGTAGTTGGTCCCGGGATGCGTCATTGGAGGACTGGTTTGGATTATGGCCGGTGTGGCTTGTATATCCAAGTGGCTGCTGGTTGTTGAACAAACACCTAAACAAAATTGGATTGTGTCCTTTGTTGATTACCATGTATAGTAACAAGAAATATAAAAGTGAGCAGCATAATAGACATAGAGCCAGAATGGGATATCTTGCAGCTGCCAATGAAAAACACCCATCTCAAAACAGCACGAGACACGATGTTCACACTATTCGTAAACAGTGATATTAATTGTTGATGATCATCCATCTGGGAGCCCTGATACGCCGTTGTGCCATGACCTCTACCAAGAGACCGGGTATCTTTAAGGAAATGAAAGAAAGTACAATCAAAGTGTCTGAACGCAAGAAATGCAAGCAGTGTTGACGAGAAGAGTGAAAGGTGCCACAATAGCACACATCAACGGAGCAATTGACCAGACGCATCGAACAAGTGACCGGCCCAAGTGACACGGAATCATTTACAAGTCGTTGAATCTTAAATCAGACCCTGCACAACATCAAGCGTGAATGGCTTGCTGGACATGAGGGTAGACCTGCACCAGCTGCTGGTATAGATCCGGATGGTCCCTGATCATGACCTCGGGGTCCCAGGCCATAGCCACAAAAATGGTGTCGATACCGCTGCTTAGGGGTGTGGTAAAGATGTTGCATATCTGCAGACCAATGAGGAAAGCAAAGGCGCAAATGACAACTGTAAAGTCACCGTTTGAGTTGTATGCGGGGTTCGTGAATTCGAGGTACAAGAACGCCAGCAAAGCGGTGGCAAATCCAATGAACAGCGAGCCAAACGAGAAGACGGGTCCAATAAGACACTCATTGATAAGTGCGTCAATACCGCGATCCTTGATCATCCTGCACGTAAGCAGAGGTTAGCACAAAGAGATCTTGAACGAGCAAGCTCGCTTGTAAAAGGCAGTTGTACGTACTTCCAGGTGTCCTTGGCCGACTGGAAGTAAGGCCGGCCGTAAAGTGCAATATGAGAAAAGGCGTATCGGTTGACAAACTCAATCACCCACTGCAAACAGGAGATGAGGCAGGTCAGGATGCAGGAGAAAACAAAGGCGAGAAGGTCTCCCTGCTGCGCGGCATCGTTCTGCGCCGACTGAGCCAGCATCTTCAAGAAGTTGACGATGGCAACAACCAGACTGCCCAAGCTGATGGATCCGAAACTGTACGTCAGAGACCGACGCAGGGCGCCTCGAGTGACGCCAGTAGGGTATGCCCGTGAATTGTAGTACCAGCTACCGTAGATTCCTGCAATCGTGGTGTGAATCGTGTTCTTGATCCATTCGCTGAACCAAAACGAGGTAAAGGTAATGAACACGACCAGCCCAGTGACCGTGGCGTAGCTGCAGGAACTCGAGGCGCAGGACGGATTGTTGTTGCTGGGAGACCACTTGTTGTAGATGGCGACAAAGGTGATGGAGAACCAGACAGCATAGGCAGCGGCAATCAGCCCGCCGACCAGGCTAATCATGTAGACGTGACCGTAGTGGTTCGCAACGTTGATGGAGGTACGTAGCATGAGTGCGCTGAAGGGTATGCGCTTGCGCCAGCTCCAAAACGCAAACATGAGAAAAACTACAAAGACGAGGAAGATGATGCCGCCAACGTATTGTTTCCGGTAAAGCATGTATATGGCGGTGCCCAGACCCCAGACGATGTTCAGGATACCCGTGATCCAGATGATTTGCCTGGGCGCAATCCGAATCAGGAAGACGTAGCCAATGCTGAAAACAAGGGCAACAGCGAGGCAGAAGAGGAAGAGGAGCAGGGTGCTTGTGTTGATGGTGAGGGCGTCCGCATCGTAGATCCCGGTGCCATTGGAACTGCGCGTGGTTGCTGCCGGAAGATCGCAAGGATTAGACAAGTCCGGTTGTATCTCGACCCGGCGCAGGAAAGGGATACGACTGCTCTTACCATAGCTGCGCAGGGCAATGCCAGAGACGACCGTGAAGCCGGCCATGAAGGCCAAGAACAAGACACCAGCCCATACATCGTTGTACTTTGGTCGCTCGATCTTGAAGGCTTGGTCAAAGGGGATCTTGCTGTCATCGCCATATCGGAACTGCTGCTGCTGCTGTTGTTGTTGCTGCTGGTGGGAGCCCTGATCTGGAACCGCAGCATAGCCGCCGTACGAAGGAGGATACTGCTGGTACTCGGGATTGGGCGGCGGATACTGTTGTTGCTGCATCGTGATGGCGTTGGCAACGTAGTCTCGAGCGAGCGGTGCTGGGTCTGCAACGCCGCAGCGTAAAGGGCAGAGGGTGCTGACGGTGGTGGATATTTGTGATTCGAACAGAGGCGGTGAACTAGTGAGGCGCAGACAAAACAAGAGGAAGAGAAGGCGAGTCTTTCGTAGTTCCATAAGGGAGGAGAAAGGCTTGGCATGTGGTTGTTGGGCCCAGCTAAGCCAATGACCTCAGCCATCCTCATAGCTCAGCTCTGAGGAGGCAGCTTGCTAGACAGACGACACACAGTGAGCCTCAGCAATCGATCTGCAAGCCCAGGATGAAGGCTTCGGTTCAGCGGCCGGGAGCAGCCTTAATAGGGTCTTACGCAAGTAGCCTAGCGGGCCCTACAGGCCCCGGCAAACGCCTCTTAAACCTTAAGTACTACGCTTATTGTGTTTGATGCGCTAAGCCCAACGCAGGCTTAGAGTCCCTATCCAGCTGAGCTGGGGCCCACCATGCCCTGAAGAACGCTGAACAAACCACTACACTTTTGCATGATTAAAACAGCGCCAACTGCCCGCCAACCCGCCCACCGTCAGTACCCGAAGGATTACAGACAGCAATTGACCTTTGCACAAACCCGCTAACCGCCAGGCCTAGGTGTCCCAAGCGGCCGACTTGGAAGGGCCTGATACACTGTTTCAAACAGCAAATGATACAAACAAGATGACGGTCATTTTTCGTACAACGTCATGTCTTGGAAACGTCTTGATGCGAGGACGATTGTCTTCTAGCTGAAGCAGAGACTCAATCCTTCAAGGCAGTTTCTTGAGACTCGCATAGACTTGGCCTTATGAATCTGTGGCAGCTGCATGTCGTCAACCGCTCGTCCCATGTGGTTTGCTCACCCAACATCGCTCCATCTCGCGGCCGTAGTCTCAATATTCTGGCCTTAAAACAATTGATGCCGTACATAATCTCTCACCATTTCTTTGGAATCTTGCCTTGTCCTTTGCTCCTCGCTGATACGCACCAATCCGTCCGAACTCAATTCAAAGTCACTCACTTACAGACACAGCAGCCCCGCTGCGGACACACTATCGACTCCACCGCCATGGATCAAGTACACTCCACTTTGATCAGAATTTTACACATCTGCGTTCATAAATCATTACAACAAATCAGTTTTCATCAAGCGCAAATGGTTTAGTGGTAAAATCCATCGTTGCCATCTTCATGAGTAAAATCATAGGATCCAATTCGATGGGCCCCCGGTTCGATTCCGGGTTTGCGCACTTGCAAGAAATTCTTCTTTTGCACATTGGTGTATTTTTGCTAGTCGTGCACTTATTCGATGGAACGTACGAATTGTTCGTGGTATGACTCTTTTTTGGAGGATGTTTATGCAGGGTTCAAATATGGGAGAGATTGCGCAAGGCCTTCCCTCCCATTTTCAACGCGTATGTGAGCTGTTCTGTAAGGTCTCTGATGCAGTGTCAATACTGACCTGGACGCCTGTAAGATGGAATGTGATTTTGAACATCGTTCACTTCCAGGCATATAATCAACGTCTATCTGTTCTGGAAACCATCCAAGTCCAAAAGTCGACAGCATGCTGATAGATCCAACCACTAAATCAAATCCTTAGGACTTTTGGAAACTGCATTCAATAGGACCATATCACAGCTTGCTCGTGGCCTCAGGAGCCTTGACCTCCACAAGTAATTTGCCTATACAAACATTGTTCAGTCAGTAACAGTAATAAGACAACATGAACTGTGCTTCCACACAGCAAAAAGACTCACCCGTGTTTCCGCCCTTGAATAACTCAGACAGTGTCTTCTCCGCCACTTTAAGCCCGCCCTTGACAATCGTTTCTTGACGCTTGATCTTGCCCTCGGCCAGCCACTGTCCAAGTCGCTTGCGGGCTGCGGGGTATTCTTGGAGGTGGTCAAAGACAATGAAGCCTTCCATGCGGACACGCTGGGTGATGACCTTGGCGATTTGCTGCGGTAGTGAATGAAATACGAGGTTAGATATGCGCAATTGAATGACAAAGGACAAGGTCGTTGTGAATAGGCTCACCCTTGGACCCTTGGGATCTGTCGAGTTATACTGGCTGATGGCACCGCACATAACGAAGCGAGCATTCTTGGCCGCTCTCGCGAGCGCCATGTCGAGAATATCACCACCAACTTGAAGTGTCAAGAAAACAGTCAGCACTCGCATATACAAAGAGAAATTTCTGCAACAGGCGGAGACATAAGAAAAAAAACGCAGTAAGACTCACCATTGTCCCAAAACACATCCACATACCGCGGCGTCGCCTCCTTAAACTTCTTCCTGAACTCAGCATCCTTGTAGTTCAAGCACACATCAAATCCCAACTCCTTCTCCAACCACCGACACTTCTCCTCGCTACCAGCGATGCCCACCACTTTCGCACCGGCCAACTTAGCCATCTGACCAGCCACAGAGCCTGTCGCTCCCGCAGCACCACTGACAACAACCGTCTCGCCTGGCTGCACCTTGGCAATTGTCTCCATGCCAAAATACGCCGTCAAGCCTGTAAGTCCCAGCACGCCCTGGAGATCCGTCAACTTGACTCCCTTGCCCAGCCCACTGCCATTGCCAGATCCCATGATCTCTCCGATCGTCTCAAAGTCCTTGGGCCCCGCAACAGCAATCTCCTGCCAGCCCGTGCTCGCAACGACATAGTCGCCCACTGCGGCACGACCAGATGCCTTGGACGCCAGTACGCGGCCAATCACGGAGCCGCGCATGACGCCGCCGATAGGTACGGGTGGGACGTAGGAGCGGACATCATCAAGCCAGCCACGCATGGCGGGGTCGAGCGAGAGGTAGAGAGTCTCGATGAGGATCTGGCCATCTTTGAGATCTGCGTCGGAGGGGATTGGAGTGTATTTCTGGTGGAAGGTCTGGCCGGGGATAACGGGGCCCTTGGGCCTTTCCGCGAGAACGATGGAGAGGGATTTCGTGGCCATGGTTTGTGTGGGGGGTGCTGGTGACGGCGGATGAGAGAGAAGAATATAGTTGAAGAGGAAGAAAGCGAAAAGCGTGCAAGATAGGTGAGGAGGGGAAGATGGTGAGGATGAAGTCAATTGTAAGAGGTGTACGCGGAAAGCACTAGGTACTTTGGTACTTAGCCACTTACCTTGTACGGACGGTGCCGAGGTGACGTGGGAAGCGACCAGGGCCCCCGGGGAGCCGAGGCATTCGGCGCTGTATCCACTTTCGGCCGGTTATACATGGCGCGCACCGTCGGCCGGGCAAACCTAAATAAACACCATCATCTGGCTCCTCTTGCATTGATGCCGTCGTGGAGCACGTATGTGTAAGCATCGGAGAATTGGTTGTCTATCATTAGTCTACGTCTATCAAATTTGTGGATCCAGGAACCTCCTGGCTAGTATGCGCTCAGAAAGCAAAGCAACCTTTCCAACAATTCTGCTCACAGAACCTGGAAACCCGGCACATCACCATCTTTCGTGGTTAAGATGCTCGTCTAACATGCACGTCAGGATTTCCTGACCCCATCAGCATCCCCTTCACCTTCTCCATCGCGTCCTTCTCACCCTCCTCAATCGGTCTATCAACGTTCACCATGACCACATCCTTCTCATCCGGTCCAGGCAGCTCAAGTACCGCAAACTGCGAGTGCACCAGGTTCTCTCCAGCAAAGTGGCCCTTGCGGTCCCGCGCTCGCTGCTTGAGCACCTCCTCAGGCGCATCGAGGTAGACAAACCGCACGCGCAGGTTTTGGCGCTGCGCAGAGCCTTCGCGCAGGATGTCGCGGTACTGCCGTTTCAAGGCTGAGCACGTGATGACGAGGTGCAGTGACTTCTCGTGCGCTGGGTGGTACTCCTCGTGATCGCGAAGGGCAGCCAGCCAGCCTTGACGGTCGGCGTCGTTGAGTGGCTCGCCGCGGTGCATCTTGTCGATGTTGGCTTGTGGATGGAACTGGAAGGAGTATCAGTACCTGGTTGCAAACTGTGTATGGTCTTGGTTTTGAGACGGCTTACATCGTCGCCCTCCAAAAAGGTAATGTTGAGGTTGTCGGCAACGTATTTTGCTATCGTCGACTTGCCGCATGCTGTAGGACCCGTGAAGAAGAAGACGTAACGAGGGCGATGCTCGGTGGGTTTAGACTGGTCTGCCATGGTGCCTTGACTGAGATTGTGCTTGAAAAAGAATGCGCTTGGAGAGCGAAATGGAGTGAAATGTGGGTTGTCGAGCAACAGCGAAACGGGAAGCAAACTGAAGAGGAGATGAATTGACGATGGCTGGGCAATTATGATGCTAGTGTTAGTTAGTTATAGACCACGATGTTGTCAAATCATCTTTTTTCAATATCTGAACATGGACGGAAGTTTCGGTGCATTGATCGCGATGACGTCGAATGTTGAAGACTGGGTCCATGCAAGTCGTGAGTGCCCATCATACGAGTCGGGGCAGGGTTAGGGTGCTTCTATATGTAAATGAAGTAGTAAAGCAACGTGCAATTGATCCTGCCTGAGAGGATTGCAGGCAGCAATTGCCAAAGTAGCAGCCATTATAATGATGGATGTGATTCTCGTTCGTGGAGCTGATTGATAGATCAAGTTCGCTTGCAACGCTGTTATTTGGGTGCTACATATCAAACATCACGAGGTACAATAACTTCAACTGGATCTCAAAGTCAGGGAGCCAGGTACTCCATCTTGGTATTTGAACAGGTCTCCATCACGTTATTACGCCTGACCGAACTTGAAATGGGATATACAACCTTTATAATTTCACCTTGAAAATCCTCCCGGGCTATGCCCCCCCCCCCAAAATGACCGGGAAAAAAAAGGATTGTATTGGAACGTCTCACGACTTTGAATTGCGGACTTTTGCGAATCAATGGCAGCAAACCCCAAGACTCGTTATGTTATTTAATTTGCAGATCAGGTCCAGTTAGGCAAATGAAGTCAGACAGATTTCAAGCCTCATCGGATTTACTTGCATTTGCTTGGTAGGTAAGTGCTCTGATGCAATGAACTGTTACATATAATATTTTTGTTAGACAGGCTGTTATAATAGTCCATAAATCTCGCGCGGTTAGTTTAGAATATTATGGTCCAGATTAGGGCTTCATCTCGACTAACAAGTTGCCCTTTTGGTTATAATATTATTTATTTGAGGCTCCAACAAATTTTCCCAGCCTCTGGTGAGCTCGTTTGTGCTGTATATCTACAAACTTACAAAGTCTTTTAAAGTCACGGATTCGTCCGCTCGCCACATACTAATATCCCAATCAATATCTCTGAAGCTGCCATTTAGAGTTCAACGTTATACGTAGCATGCAGTCAACAAGACACAATGACACGGCTTCAACGTCTGTTGCAAGATTCATCTTTCTCAATACCAGTGCTAGGAAGATATGTAGTTAGTAGTGTGTCACCTTGACCATGGTCCAAAATTGCGAGAAAGTGTGATCCCGTCCCCCGTAAATGTGCTTCTTACCCAATTGACGCCAATAGAACCACACATGGAGCCGGTCTAAGTGTCTGGTACGTACATCTGACAAGCACAGAGGTACAAGGAATGTTGTCAACCCATCAGTATGTATCTTCACAATGAATTTCTTGACTGATAATAGCAGAAGTTTGCAAGAATAAGATGCATACAAGCCATCGAGATGATGGGACCAGTCCACCTGGTGATTGGTCTGCTGCTTCTCTGGTAGAATCGTCGCGTTTAGTGTCTGGATTTCTATGAAGTTCTGATATGGTCCAGTTGCTGAATCAGATCGGTGTTGGAGAGATAAAGCCGAGAAAAGTGGTCTTCCGCTTCCAACATCTCAAAGTCAAGAATCAAGCTAGAAATATCTGGGAATCGAAATGGTCTTTGCACCCCAGATTGATGGCTCACTTGAACAAAGGGCCAAATAGACAAGGCGGCTCGAATTCAGCCATTAGCATTGATTGAGTGTTATTAGAGGCAATCGCATCGAGGCACACTTTGAGCGGTGAAAAGGACGTGTCCGAACGTGGTGCGCAGATTTGGGACCAGGCTGAAGGTGCAAATAGAGTGGCTCCTAGTGGTGGATGGGTTTGCGTGAGCATCAAGTGCAGAAATTGGACAATTGCACCACGCCAGCAGATGTACTCAAAGGTCGAAGGGTCAGAGACAAGAGCCACTCAAGCAATTGGCGACAATCATAGCAGATACATTCACAAAATCGAGACCAAATGATTTCGGGAGGGAATCATATTGACTTGTAATCATTGTCGATTCATCAACTATGGAC